CAGCAGGACTGCTGTACAAATAGGTTTCACGTTCAGCTGGGGCTCTATCCAGTCGTGTGCCATTGGTGCTGGTCCCAACTATGTGCCTACACTGGCTTGTGCGGGGCCAATAATTGCATCAGATCTAACTAATTACGTGTTTCCGTATCTCTGAATCTATAATTCTTCATTTATGCAGGAAGAAGACACTTGCATTTAAAACAAACTGTTGCTTTGGCCTGACTGATAAATGTTTAATTCTCAGACAGGGAACATACAAGTTGTTTTGCTCTTCTTGGTCTTATTTGTAGGCCAGAGAGAAAATTAGGCTAATGGTTGTATCTTTTCAGAAGTATCTGACTTGCTAAGTGCACTGGGACAGAGTGAACCCATGAGAAGGCTGGAGGCTCTGCTTGCCTTGGGTAAGTCAGCGGCAGAGAAAAAACAACATTTTTCCTGAATCTTAGGATTTGAAACAGTGCTAAAAGCACTCAAAAACTTTCTTCTGCACAGGTAATTTCACTTTGAAAGTATCCTTTGAATTCCTCTGCATGTCTGCCTTCTGGTGAAGTGGCAGCAGTCTACCAAGATGCTTTGGTGTGAATAAAAGCTTGTTGGAGCAGTTTTGGCAGAGCGGTTGGGGAATGCCGCTCCTCAGCATTTGACATACCACACACGCATGTTTTGCCAATGTCTTGGAGGTGATCGGGAGGAGGGAGAAGTGTGATAAAGGCCGCTTGCTTTTCTGTTCAGTCATCTTTGCCCTTGAAGAAAAGCAGGCAAGGATTGCCTCAACTGGGGAAATGCAGATACAAAATCAAGTAGGAGGCTTGATTGCATTTGTTGGGTGGATTCTTTTATCCCTTTCCTGCTCAATCCAGGGAAATTTGCTTAACATTTTTATCCTTAAGAACATAAAGCTGCAATAGAAGCTCAGATACCTTGTGACAGCGTATTACAGCGCGCACTCTTGCAGATTTCAGCAGTCTGAGTGACCACAGACTCCAAAGAGATTTTTGCCAGCCACTCTGATGGTGTTTTTCACAAGATACCTTGTACTGCCCAGTTCAACTGAGTTTTAAATGTCTCAAGGGCTCTCATTGCTTCCCTCAGCAATGTCCCAGAGGTACAGACCCAATAGGAAAGATCCATCTTACTAAAGTTTCCTTGGCCACCCTTAGAATAGGCTGTAATAACTCTTTTTACCATTTCAAAAAGACATGAAGAACCAAGTTGGAGCACTGTTATTTCCCAGGTCTCCACTGTTAGAAGAGGTGAAGGAAGAAAACTGTCTGAAACTGTCACTGGAAAACACAGGAACAACAGATATGCAAAAAGCCTGCTTTAAGTTCACAGTGTCCATCATCCATCACCACAACAGAATGACTTTGAATCTTGGTAAATTTTAGGGATGAATTAATTTTGCATTTCAAACCCACAGTCGGTGTTAAAGGATGGTATGTAACCTTCGTTGTACAAAACTGAATGTCCTCCCAGCTTCAACAGCAGAAGAAATAGAGTACATCTAATGCTCACTGGCCTGGCTTAGCCTGGAACACATGGGAGAGACACATGGAAAATGAAAGGTCATGTTTAAGGTAGAAATAGCAGCTGAAAACTATTGGTGTGGAAAGAAAAATGACTGTGGCCAGAAACCCAAGGAAGAGCATAACTTTTTTGGCCCAATTTGCCTTCAAAATAACCGTGATGCTACACAGGATATGAATGAGCAGATGTGCTTCAAGAACCGTTGATCTACAGCCAAGTCCAGCTTTCGGATACGCACACAAGACTCCCAGCACGGTCCGTGGGACTTAACCGTGCGTATCTGAGCATGGAGGTACCCTCCAGGCGCTCAGAGTTAAAGCACGCTTGATCTTTGGAGGGTTGCTCTCCTGTGCTCCGGTGGGCTCGACCGCACCATCTGAATCTCTTGCGTTAAGCAGCTTCCCCCGTTACTCGCCGAGGTGCTGAGGTGCTGACGCAAGTGTTTTCTTAAATGCCACTGCCTCCATTTTCGCTGAACTTCCAGCTGAACCTAGGTAGAAAGGTCACAAAATACTTAGTTCAGCTGGTTTATCTTGGAGCCCTGCACTGCGGAGAGCAGTGTAACAGGAAAAGGGGAGCGGGTTACCTTTGCCAAGGTTTGGATCTGTTTATTTAACCCCCGGTTTAAGGGGTTAGGGTAGGGCTTGTTTCTTGTCACTTCTAGTGGTACTGTGGCAGCCACACGATGTTCTGTTAACCTGTTTTTCTATTTAATTGCAGGTGAAACAGGTCAGAGTCTAGTTGGCCTTAGTGTTTGTTTGGTTTAGATTTCTCCAATATTTTTATTTTAGTTATAAAAATGGGACATTTTGGCACTCTAAGGTAAAAAAAAATGCAGATTTTCTTTTCAAAACAACTTTTTCTGAACCCTGTTAAAGGATCAAAGGAGTTCAACCCCCTCCTCCATTTCAAAGTGACTTTTTCTTCCAACCTTAGGCACCAATGATTTTCTTTTTATCCTTTCAATAACCTCAGGATCTCCCAGGTTTGGATAATGTTCCACCCCCCACTTCTACCAGCAGCAGCATTGCAGAAGGCAAATTCTAGCCCAGAAGCCTGGGAGTTATACGACTACAAAGGAAACGTTCCCTCTTCCGAAAGCTTTACCTTATGAGAGTCCTGATAAACTTGGACTGGATACAGCTTTTGATAAATACCTTCCCAAGGATCAAGCAAAAAAGAAAATAGCCATGGGTTGACAGATAATAGCACTATATATCAGAACCAGTTGAATTGTCAGCCAGACGGCGTGCAGGATGGTACTCCCACCCTCCCAGACAGTAATACTGCTGTCTGATTTATGGAAGGGCTGCAACAGTTGAGAGGTGAAGTTTGCATCTGGCGTACAATTACTTAGGCTCACCAAGTCTAGGAGGTATTTCACGAATGACGTTGGGAAGCTGGGAAGTAAACCCTCCGATAAAACGTGTAATTCATTGGAGAACATATCCTACTGATCAATGAAGCATGCTTGAGCAATAAAAAAGAATGTTATATACACAAAACTCACCTCACCATTAAGAAAACAATAAAGTACAGCCACGACAAAGCCCTGAAAGATAAAAGAACTGTGGTCACAGAACTGGAACTGCAGTTTTGGCTTCTGAATGGGAATGAGGCATCTCAAGGGAAATGAGGCAGCTTGGTTTTTGCCTTGGGACTCTGCTCAGTTGAGAGTTATAAAACATACCTCTTTTTCTTATTTTAATGAAATAATACTTGTCAAGCGTTACCTGGAATGATCCAAGAGCCAATTCAAAAAACAACTGGATTTCCATTGTGCCGCTGCTTGCGTCTTCAGGGAAAAAAGCAAAAATGATGTAGTGGACCCCAAAGAGAGGGATGAGGAGAAGAGTTGACTTTGCAAGTCTCCTGAGAACGGAAACAAGAGGGAAAGCTGGTGTAGAAGGAGCAAGAGGAGCTGGGGTGGGCTCGCGGGGCATAAAGTCACAATGTAAAGGACCTACTTGTATTGGTTGAAATCGCTGCTCCGTCCTTCAGGCAAGCTGAGCTTCCTCATCAAGATTCTTAAAATGTTGACAAAAAGAATGAAATTAATCTGGAAAAAACAAAAGGAAGGACATGAATATAAACCCCAAACAACTCACAAATGCTGGGTAACGACTTAGGTAACTGCCAGGTATCAGCAGAGCCAGTTTAGGGTGTTTTGGCTGAACTGGCAGAATAGAGGGGCTGAGGCTGGCCTGCCCATGTCCCTGTCCCTACCCCAGTCTCTGTCCCTGCTTGTCCAGCCTGCCCGGCCACCCTGGGCTTGGGTGCTGGCTGTTTTCCCTCCCACTTTACTGCAGCATTAGTTATGGGGATGATCAGGGCTTATTATCCAGGCAAATCACCAAAGGGCAGGGAGACCGGACCTATCAGCAGGATCCCTTCTGGCTGTGGGGTTCAGACAGCCTGGCCCCACTTTGGAAGCCAGCAAAGGGGCAGCACTGGAGCTACTGCTTGGGATTGCAAATGCTGTTTGTTCCCTACCAAAAGGCACAGCGCGGTTTGGGATGATGGAGGCAAAGTAGTAGGGTCGACTACTCCTGGATAGGAGAGAGTCTACACTGGAGTTCTTCCTTGTGCATTTTCCCCCTCTCTAAGGGTGGAAATCAGATAAAAATGCTGATGTGCTGTTCAGTTTGGGTAAGGTGAAGCAATAGCTGTTGCTGCTTGTTTGACCCTCAGGCAAAGAGTGGGAGTCATGCCTTTCTCCCACTGTCACCGTGTGGCACCGGGGAGCAACCTTGGTTTTATCTGCCCTGTGCATCAGGGCTCCGACACCCCCTGCACCCACACAGCCCGCTGACCTGCACCCACTGCCCTCTTGCAACACCCTGCACTGCGGCGGGCTCGTGACCGGTCCCTAAACCCGGGAACACCATCGCAGCGTGCATCCTCCTCAGGGTGGCTTGTACGTGCCTTGGGAGGGCGAGCAGGGCTCCGAGAGGGTGGGTTTCCCTAAGTGAAGAGGGTCTACCGTAGATGGAACAGACCCAGGATGTGCCCAGGTTCCCCAAATTATTGGATGAAGAGGGCACAACTGTGGCTGTGTGGACTGGGCTGCTGAGGGTGTCTGGAGAGGTCTGGAAGTTCCGGGAGTTGGGAAAGGGTGAGGAGGGGAGCAGAACTGGAAGGAACTAGGGGTGGAAAACAGGAAGGAAAGACTGAAATATCTGTGGGTAGTTGGGAGGGAAAGGAGGCTCAGGTCTGGGGATTCTGGATTTTCTAACCCACTAGACCAGGAATGAGCAGTGTCAGGTGAGCAGAACTTTTTGCTGATGAAAACGACTGGGGAAGGGGGGACGGTGGGATTCCTCCTGGGAGGGATTGCCCCCGGGCACACAGCAATGAATGTTAGCCTAGGAGCACAAAGGAGTTTATCGGTGTTGATTTTCTGCCCTTTGAACTGCGAATTCCATGAAGACTAGAGAGATTAGATGTGAATTCTGAAGAGCTGGCTGTTTGTTTGGGGCTATGGGCTTGAGAAAACCCTCTTTTAGGTAAACAGGCAGATCCATGCAGGCGGCTCCTGCCTTAAATGGCTAAGCTAGATGTGATCAGGATTTTGAGGAAATTTGGAAGGGATTAATGGGTGGTGCCCTTCAAAAGATAAATTAAGATTGTGGGTTTTGCCTTGCAGAATGCCTGGGCCTTGGCATTTAAATATTGCTGAGTGGGTCCTGGAGCGTAAGGGTTGTTTTGTGAAGAAAAATAAATGCTGTGGCCACCTTAAGTTGATTCTGAATCTTTTGTGTGGTCTTCTACTGGTCTTGTGGGAGCGAAGGATTGCTCAGTGGTGAACGGGAGCAGAACTTTAACCCACCATCTCTGCTGCTTGGATTTCCAAGGGAGTGTGCGAGTGTTGCAGTTTGTGTTTTGCAAACATAATGGCTCCTACTGGCAACACAAAAACCTCAGCCAGCTCTTGGGTTCTCACTTGGAGTGTCAGCGGGTTACTTGAGGGTAACTAGCAGTTTGTGTGTCTCTGTACTAGGGCTTCAGATAGACCTTTGCAGAGTGGTCTGCCCCAAAGCATCTGCGCTGGGCAGAATAACTATCATCTCCAAGGAGCAGCTCCAGCCCCTTGGTACCTAAGGCTCTGAAGGTGAGCACCAGCAAATGATCAGACCATAGGTGCTGAGTATTGTATGTACCAAACTGTTCTTGACATTGCTACTGCCTCGTACCAGGCAGGTTCGTGCTGAGTTTCAATGCCTATGCCTTATTTTAGTGCCGTAAGACTATAATTGCAGTCCAATAACATATGGTGCGTGCAGCCTGTGGGCTGCTTTCATCGCTGAAAACAAAAGCTAATGGTCATGTAAGGCAAGTTGGTTTTGGCTTTGCTGAGAGGAGCATTGACCGGGAGAGACAAAGGCGATTGTGCTGAAACATACAGCCACTTCACTTCTCCAGAGCCTTCCTTGGAACAGTCCAAAACAAGCTTTCACAAGCCAGCCAAGTTCATGTGAAATCAACAGGATGTGGAAACCTGATCTTCTTCAAGCCCTTGCTTCTCGGGAGGACACTCTAGCTTGCCTTGTGAACTTAGCTTCAGGGCATTATCTGCTGAGCAGAAGTTGCTTAAGCAGTAATTCATGTGTCTCACCAGTTCAGGCACATGGCTAAGATCAGTTCATTAACACACTTCTCAAGCGTGTTGAGTAGATGATCTCTGACTTCACAATATTTGAAAATACAGTTTGAATCAGCTTGTCCCAGAAAAGACTTACAAAAATAGACAAAACTACAGGGCCTCTAATGATCCACCAGGTATTGGCATTAGTGTTAATGTCCCAACACCTGTAAAAATAGAAGAGGTGCAGTCAGTTATGCAAACACTGGTGTCCTTTCAAAGAGCTTTAGTCTGTTTTGCACTTCAGATAGGTCCCTATTCTCTTCTTCTATGAAATTCATTTCCTGGTCTCACATAGCTGCACAACATTTCCAACAGAAAACTGTCCACCTGCATGGGACAAAGGTATAGCCTGCCCTTACAGCAGAACCACTGTTCAAAATTTTGGAAGGGAAAAGAGAAAGGTTTCTCTGATCAGAAAGTCAAATACAGATGTTTGAGAACATTGTGGGCTGAATTCATACTTGCAGGCTACCTCCTACCCTTGAAAATGCTCAAACAAAATTTGAGGCTCTTTCTCAGGTTGTTCAGCTGGACTTCTACTCCCACCCACGCTCGGACAGCTTGCACCACAGCAGGGAGGTGGTTGGTTGGCGTGGCTGCCGGTGGTTAGGAACGAGCAGGACCCCGTGGAGCTGCCTCCGTGGGGGCTGCATGCTTCCCCCGGCGTGCCACCTTCCCTCCCGCCCCCCACAACCTACCCAATATTTTCATGCAGTTGCCTAGCAGTCGCCCATGCGGCCACGAAGACGGTTGGGGCACCTGTGATCGGAAAAACAAGTTACTGCTCCACAGATCCATCCCAAAGGCCAAACAAACCCACATTATTCTTACTGAAAGGAGGACCAGTACCCCATCCAAGGGCGATGAACCGCCAGAGGAACTTCCTTTCCAAGAAGAAAGAAATAACCAGGAGAGTGTGGAGGTACAGTCCCTCCACGAGGAGCCAGCTGTAGTTAGACATGATGCAATACTGGAAGAAGACCATGGTGAGCTTACAGCCAGCCTAAGGAGAGAGGATAATTAGCTTCTGCCTGGGTTTGCATCTACCTTCTAGCAGAGCCAGCTGTAAACGAATCTGGGCAAACAGAGATTTTATAGCAATTCGGGGACTAAACGGGTGGCCTTGAGACAGGCGTTCATATGACAGGAAAGCAGGGCTGGATCTCGTAAATGCATTAACCACCTGCCTCGCTAGCAAGAACCAAAGGTATCATGGACACAAGGGTTTGGGTTACTGTCTCAGTTACAGGAGTTTCACTATTACCACCTTGTCATTGTCAGCGGAAATAATATCACCTCAGAGAAGCACATGAATGTACTGGCCAGTCTTTTTTTCTATGAAAAAGGGTCGATAAAGACAAGTTAAAATTTGCTCAAGATGTTCTTGTTCAGCAATAAAAATCCAGCAAAACCGGGGGAGTAAACCAAAAAACACCACCACCCCCTTTTTTTGTCTGTCTGTTTCCCTCCCTAATTCTCATCTTTTGGTTTAAGGCATTGTACATCACCTCCAGTGCTCACACCACCACCCCCCCTGCAATTTTCATGATATTTTTCTGCCAGTAAAAAGAAAAAGAACAGTTCAAGACTTAGGAGGTTCCTTTTCCAGGCTCTCTGGGTGCAAACCCATATCTTACTACCAGGTCTCACACCACAGTGTAAGTCAGCAGTATTTAATCTGTTCTCATACTTTTACTACCAGTCCTGTCTACCAGGATCTAAAATCCATGTTAGAACCTTCACCCTGCTGGTGTACCCTCTGTTCACAGCCTCAGACACCCCTGTTTAGGCATTTCAGGGTCAATGTGCTGGACTCCTGGTGTCTTACGTGAACATCTAGTCAGTGCAATCGACGTAAGGAATGCAGGTGCCTACTTCAAACTGACCTGGATGGCCCCTGCTCCAATACTCGTAAAGGCATCTATAGACAGGAGGAACTGCACCCGGGTTTCTGTGCGTACGCTCCAGCCTGGGCTGCTTTTGCATCCTCACACCTCCCTTACCCAGGCAGAATATTCCCAAACAGGGAAATCTCATCCTAATACAACCACCACAAGTGATGGACAAGGGACAACGCATGCCTCTCTTCTCCCACAACCCCACGTCCTGAATAGAATGCTGGGATGGACATTTCCTTCACTGCACACTAACTACTGCTAGGGATCCTGCTGGGAAACTGAGGCACGGGGCAAGCTGGAAGGCTGAGGGTTACCGTGTATGCCCCACAGTAACTTGTGTCTTCGGAGGAAAACAAAACGGCGTCCTTAATGAAGTTGGACGAGGCTCGCAAAATGAACGATGTGAAGAGATGCATGTGGATGTAGTTCCTCGTACAGCGTAGTCTTCTGTTACAAAAAGAGAGAGATCCTGTGAAATTACATCACTAGCCAACGTGGGTAGCTTGTGGCTGTAAACAGGAGGTTTCAATCCTTATTAATGCTAAACTGACAAATTAAATAAACTGCCCATGGCAGGGGGGTTGGAACTAGATGATCTTTAAGGTCCCTTCCAACCCACACCATTGTGTGATTCTGTGAAATTAAGAACACTGTTTTTCTGTCTGTGAAAGGAAGACTAATATGTTTCCCAAGAGAAGTATCTTAGAGAAGACCTTAAAAAGCTAAAGTCACATTTACTCCACTCAGGTACTAAAACAAGCTGAACGTTGCCGGAAGAATTGCCATTTCATGTCAATATGCTTAGTGTAGCCTCGCTCCCTCCTTTCTGGAGTAACACGAACCCAAGGTGTTTATCCACACCTGGGCGGATTTATTTGGTTTGCCTGCACAGTGCACTTGTGCCTGCAATGTTTTCTATATTAAACCTCCACATAAGCTGGATCTGGAGACTGTGCAACCTGAAGACGTGTTTGCAAAGCAGTTGGGGTTCCTTTTTGCCCGGAGGTGCCTCCCAGACACATGCTGTCAGGGGAATTAATTTCACTGAATAAGCAGCAAAGTACAAATTCCAGGTTATAAGGATGCGTGAAGATAAACCGACTATCAGGTCACTGCTGTAAACCTGAAACACCTTCCCAGAAGTCAGCGCAGCAGCACTTAGAGCAAAGTTTTAACCACGGTCTCAAGTGGGGAAAAGAACAGCACAGGGAAAGACACTGTGCTCGAGGGACACTGAAATCACGGAAAGACGTCAGCAGGGAGGTGCTGCAACCACCAGTCTGCAAAATGCATCCAGCTACATTTTGGAAAGGACAGGAGAGCACAATATGAGGAGCAGCCCCGACATTTTCTGGGAGACAAGACTTGGAGATCTTTTTTGTCACTGATTTCTGTGAATGTTTTCAGCAATACTTTGATTTTTAACTTGCCCTAAAAGCCAGGAGGATCTGTGTCAGCTGAAACGACCAGAATTCCTGGTGGAATGCAAACCAGGGTTGCTTCTCCTCACCTAAAAGAGACCAGGACGGCTAGGGCTATCATCAGCGTCACGAGGGAGGTGCAGTATCCGATAGTGTACATGGTCTTCAGAGTCATGAAATAGGAACGCTGCAGGAAAACATATGTTCACATCTTTACCTCTGACTGTCCGTTAGAAATCAGCTCACACCAACAGAGAGGTGTCTCCTCCCATTTAACAAATACATTTTCTGGTAAAATCAGCTACTGAAGTTTTACCTTGAGCAACCCATTCTGATCATTTGGAGGAAGCATTTATGCTGAAAAACACCAGGAACGACCACCCACCACCGCCCCCACCCCGAGTTAAATCACAACATCATCCTGTCCTTAACCTGTTCCTCCCCAGGGCCCCAGAGGAGCAGATTTGGGCCCACAGGCACTCTGACTCACTCTTGCCTCGTTGGTCGTGTCATTGACGTTGTAGCCACAAGCGATATCTGGTCTCGGGTATGGGTCTGACCACCCCTCACTCGTACAGTTTCTGTAGACAAAACCTGTGCAGTAACAACAACAACAAAAAAGACAAAATCAGGTGTGATCATTTCCAACTATATCTTTGTTTCCCTTATAGGACTGCTCCAAGAGCAAAGAGACTACTTCCCCCCCAGGCAGTGCACTCTGCATAGCTGGAGGTGAAATGCAGCTGAGCTAATGATGTTGATACTTGTCCAGTGTACTTGTCTGGGTCATAATGTTGTTTGCCATCTCAGGGATGACTGTGATGGATGTGTTTTTATTCATTGCAACATAAATAATCATGTTTGGTACATCTGGTGTTTCTTGGCCAGTATTCCAAGATCAGCAAACGCATGACTTGTTCAATCATGGCTTCATAACCTATGCAAACCTGATACTTCCCTGTATGCTCCCACCTCTTTACTGTGGTTTGTCATGGTCTGAAGAGAACACAAAATTTTAGATGGTCACAGATATTTGGTGAGATGGAAATTAAAACTAAAAGGCTTTTCCTCACAGCCAGGTCTGGGCATTATCTTAGACTGTTGATTTCCTTGCTTACTTGCAAATGAAAGGCTAGGATGGGATTCGCCTAAAGACTTCTGAAAGCTAAATGCTTAAGTCCCACTGTATCTTTCTAGTCAGTGGAGAAAAAGAGGCATTTTCAGATTTTTGCCCACACACTGAGCCATGGGACTCCAGGGCACCCAGTTCCTGCAGTGCTGAGGGAATGGAGGGAGGTGCATATGCAGCAGTGTTTCGCACTGGGTTTTGTTCTTTGGAGCCCTGCTGGGATTGCCAGGACAGAGTCAGGGCTCCTGCTACTTCTGGGCTAGTTCTGGTGACCTGACAGCATGTCTGCACTTGATTTGAACTAACCTCTGTAAAACTGCAAGGCACAGCAAACACGCCAAGATCTCCAAGTGGGAAGAGCTCTGGGTGTGTCAATATCAGACTATTATTCTGATGCTTTTACGAACATCTTGTTCCAGCCTGGCTTCTTCGGAAGGGCCAGGCTTGCTTTCTATATACCCTTTTCTATACCCTGCTGCAGCACAGCAACAACAGGAGAGAGAGAAACAGCTCTCCCAAACAGTTCTCCCCACCTGCCTTGGCACTCAGCAAGGGCGTGGTATGATGACAGATTCTCTACTTCAGCTTCAGGTATTGACACACGTACTTAGAGCAGAGCATTGTGCTTGTAAGCTTGCCTGTAAAAGATTTTTGCCTGAGGATGTCAAAGCAGATGAGACAAGAAGAGGTGAAGTTCCGTGTTGATGTGTGCATGCAATTGCGTTATATGCAAAGCATGCCAGATAATGCAGGGCATATTATACTGATGGATGTGAGCACAGATTTAAAAATGCTACTTGTTTATGGGTGACACACACACTGGGCAAACTGCAGCATGCCCTGCTTGGAGCAGATTCAATGTCTGCAGTCTGTCTAACGATCGATGCTTGGTGCTTGCTGGTGCCCCGGAGGTTTTTGGAGTTGGCCAGGCAAGGGGGAACACTGGCTAAAGGGATGGCCATGAATGGCCAGCCGACACGGCCTTCTCCTCTGCCTCTGAATCCCCAGTGGTGTCACACCTTTTCTCATGTCTTGCTTGAGACACAATGTTCAGGTCTGGATGTGAACTTCGGTTACGTGGTTCCAGGTTATTTTTGTTTCCTTGGTCTGTTATGCGGGAAGGGGCCAGACAGTCTGAGCTGCAAAAGCAAGTCTAGATGTCAGCACAAAACTCAGCGGCACGGAAACCAAGGTTTGGTCAGAGCTCAGAGCTATCTGCGTCCCTTAACATATGGGTCTTTGGTATTTGTGGCTGCCCATCTGCTTTGTAAGTGGCGAGGAGAGAAAACTTCTGCTTTTTCTTGGGTTTTTTGTTTTAGTGGGTTTGTTTTTTTTCTTCCAAGCAAACAGATCTGTGTTTTTCTTTTGCAAAATTGCTTCAAACAGGACAACTGTAGCAGGAATTAACCGCGTGAGTCACAAGCCAACTGCAGTGTAAAATCAAAGAATGTGGCTATGAGAATGAGAACAAACTATTGCTGCCTTTGACCCAGAATGCCGGATGCAGAGACCGAAATAAGATGCAAATGTCAATGGACTGTGTCTTGGGTTTCTGGTTTGAACACTGTCACTCTGATTATTGCTTATCAGAAGTGGTTCAGCTCCCTGCTTCTGGATAAGGAGGGCAACTAAAGTTTAAAGCTGTTAGACTATCTCCAAGATAATGCAATGCACATTTGAGATGTAATTATGACCTTTGGATGTACAAATTCCTGTTTTCCTCCCCGGTAGGAAGGCCAGAGGCAGGGAGCAGTTCCCTCTAGTGGCTATAGCAGCAGGGATTTCATTTAATGCGTTTAAGGGCTGGTGTCGCTATGCTAAAGATTTGTGAGCGAATGCCAGACAGATTATTTCTTCAGCGATCTGTGCCTTTGTGTAATTTATCCTCTGCCTTTAAACCAGATTATAGGATTCGATGGGAAGCTACTGTTTGTGTAGCACAGTATTTATTTTAATCTGAATGGCCCATGTCTGTTTTTATTTAAAGAGCACTAAGTGCTTCTCCTCTGATTAATTTAATATTTATTAGACAATCTAATACTTTTTCTCCTGTTCCTCCCTCCATAAAACGAATCTGTCTGCTTTTCTGTAAGTACTGGACCTCGTTAATCCGTGTCCTATTTTTTTTTCCGATTTGAATCATTAACTCACTAAAGAGAAACGTAAGCACATTTCTTGGACGTTGCTGAAGAGTAGGATTGAACAGAAGGCAGGAAGAAACTCCTACTTAATGGCTGATGATTGCTGTAGTATATTGGGAATAAATTTCACTTCATTTCTAGCTTAGATTTCTCAGAGAAAGGACAACAAACGTTGCTTGAGCTCATCTCCTTTTGAGTAAGATTTTTGGTGAGCCTGAGTTCCCATGAATTCGTGCCACTTGTGTGGAGCCTGCCACAGCCAAAGGATGAACGCCCAGTACAGATTTCCTCTTGATGGAAGGGATTTTTTTCCCCCTGCCTGGCTGGCTGGTTGGCCAAAACTTGTATGAATGTGAGGCTGTGTGAAGTTTTGTCCCTGTGAAGCTCAGCTGAGATCCACCACTGGATCTAAGACTTATTAGAAGGGGAAAGATAGTCGGAAATACATAAACACAGAGCCTGAGTGGGGGAAACTCCCTTAAGAAACCATACTAAAAAACTGCTTTTCAGGACAGCATTTACTTCCTGCACTTTTCTCGACCTGGCTGGGAAAAATAAACACTTAAACCACCTTACTACTTTAATTCCAGGCTTTCCCATGTTTAGATTAGTGTTAGAAATGGAGCTGCTAAGTGGCGATCGGTCTTTAAAAGAAGCAGGGACACAACTTTACTTCAAGTTCAGACCCAACAGTGGCATCTTTGTAAATAACACATTTAAAAATAAAATAACAATAAAAAACACTTGAGCAAGAAAATTTTTAGTGTTACCTTTTTTCCCAGTCAGCATCTGGAAGAATTCAGGGCAGGGAACATTGACAGTCTGTCCCACGACGGATGAAGGCCAGCAGCTCATGTTATCCCACATTCCAGCACATCTGCCTGGGGAGAGGGGGGGCAGTCACAAAAAGCCATGCAGCATCTCCCAGTGATGAAACACCATGAAACCTCTCCAAACAATGAAACACTATGAAACATCTCCAAGCAATGAAGCATCATGCAATGTCTCCCAAGGACCAAGGCATCTATGGGAACAAAGATGGTCAGTACGCTGAAAAACAAGCTGGATGAGGGACAGCAAGTCCTGCTGAGGCCTGTCAAGACCTGGATTGGACAGAACAGGACCTGCTTGCTTCAAACCAGCCCCAGCAAAGCTCCAGGTCCAGCCCATTCTGGTCCTCTATTCCACTGGTCTCTACTGGCCAAAGAGCAACTGGGGCCACTGTGAACTTTGCATCAGTCCCTTGGCTACCCATCTGTCTTCTTTGTAACTATTGAATGGCCCTGGAAAGATGAAGGAAACCAGATGTGAATTTTTTAGCTCACTTTCCAGTCTTTTCAAAAGTTTCCACTTTGAGTCACACCGATGTTTTCCTTATGCAATCTCTTTGTAAACAGAAAAAGATACAACTTGACTAGGAGTTTAAACAGCTTCAGAATGATACGGAGAAAAAGGCAGAGAGGAACAGTATCAATGTCATCCTTGTAATAAATACTCCTCTGCTTGTTTGTCCCTTTCGTTATGCCAAGACTGTGCTGGAGTGGATGACACCAACAGACCCCTCGCTGGGCTTAGCTGTGGGTCTCAACGGCTTTGCTGCAGGAGGGCAAAACTTTGCCAAGCTCTGTCAGTCCGTGAGACTCTTAAGGGAAGGTCATCACATTTTCAGGCCAGGGAAAAACATGGACACACACCAATATTGAGGCAAAACCTGCCCATCTGTGGTTCTTTCCAAGGCCAGTCCTCTGACCATGTGACAAGCCTGTTGGAGGACCTGTCTCAGGGCAGCCATGGAACCTGGAGTTATACTGGGCTCTCTGCAGGCGTGAGCCTGTGGCTCAGTTGCCCTCCCTGCACCTTCCGCCACCTGAGGCCTCCACCAGCTGCAGGACCCGACCAACACTGCCCACATGCACCCCATTTCCCTCAACAAGGTGCTGGAGCTGCTTGTATTAAGGATGGGCTGTGGTCCCCTCCTACAGGCAGGGTGTGAAGTGGGCTTTTCCAGCTGCACAGGCAGACAATGGTCAATGGAGGTGGGTCAGCATCTTTCTTAGGTTCTTGAAGCTGGCATGGATGAATTTTGTCCTCCAGCGCAGGGTATTAATAGAGAAGACCTGCAGCTGATGCTCCTTGTGCCACAGAGAAACTATAATTCTGGTTTTTGTGTTTTGCTCTTCTCTTCTTTTTAGGCTGAAATCATTCAGGATGGTTCTCTTTTGCCCCTGCTCAGTGTCATTGGTTTTAGCAAAATGTCCCCTGTGGGTTTTGTAACGTGAGAGGGAAAAGAGAGGCCACTGGAGCATGCCAGGACCACCCTATGCCTGGTGGGTCCTGGCATGTGCCGAATGCCCTGCACGCTGACTGAAAGCAGAGGCAAGGAAGCACTGAGCTCTCTCCTCAAATGCTTTGTGCTTCATAAGGCCAGCCTCCAGTAGCCTGACAAAAGTATTTACATTTCCAGAAACGTATTGATTTCCTCCTGCACAGCAGTCCTAGTGCCTGGAAATACAGAGCTTTCAACAGCCAGGGCATCTCAGCTCTGGTGTCCTCCCCGTGCCAACGTTTGTATGACTTGGTAACCATTTACTTCAAAGCAATAACTCAGTTGCAAACGGAACATCACCTTGGGTGATATTTACTCCCAGCTGTAAATATCTGCTGCAGTATTTGGGCTATCAAACCTTCATGCCAACACCACTGGCATAAAGCCCCCAAATCAGACTGAGAGCACAGAAAAACCTGTTGGGACGGTCTCCTCCTGGGAGGAGAAAACAAACCCCAGCTAAGCCATTTGTCCTGCAGGAGGGCTTCTCGCCAGCTCTCGGGGGGCAAAGCCAGTGCCACCTGCCCCTACCTACCTAAAGAGCCTCCTCTGGATACCCAGAGCTTTGTTTCTCTCTTCTTCAAACTGAAGTCCCTGTATGGGAATTTCTCCGCACAGACCTCATACGTGCAGATAATCAAAGGCTGGAGGTGTTTGCAGAATACAAGCAAATATTCCCCAGAATAAAAGCCTTACTCCATAATTTACCGAGTTAAGAAACCCTCCTCGAGTGAAGACCAGCAGAAGGAAATTCCTGGTCTCTGTCTTCAGAAACCAATACTTGGGGAAAGATGTGTATCTTACTCCTGTTTATTTCTCTGGAGCTTCACTGCCAGGAGGTATGTTTGCACAGTTACAGAGACAGAGAGGGGATTAGTCACTCTGGCCACTTTCAGTTTAAGGCTTTCTGCTGCACGGGTAGCCCAGCGCCCACAGCAGTATGCCTTGATTGATCTGACTTGCAGAATTACAAGAGAAATATTGACAGCCATTGGAAATGCTTTCTCAAAAGTTTAACACAATCCTCTACTTTTCTTTCTCTCTAGGTTTGGGGAGAGTGGCGCAGAGGGTAGGATTATCCTGTTAAAAAATTTACAGTAACAAAAAGCCTCAGGGGAATTTTGAAGATTCAGTCCAACTTAAACCTAGATTAAGTCTCTGCTGAGGAGCTACTACCTGACTGAGATAAAATGAGCCCCTCTGTAAAATGACACTGGCTGCTAATGCCAGCGCTGGTCCCCGCCTGCACAGTCTTGTGAAGTTCAACTTGTTTGCATCTTCGGAGCTCTGGAGCAGAGGAAATGCAGAGCTCAATGTTAGAGCCATGTCACAGGATTAAAGCAGAAAAACAGGTTGTCAAACCAGCCTTCCTCTTCAGTGAAGGGCACCAGGGAAGGAAACAAATAATAGTGATTTATTTATATCATCAAACTTCTTATATGCAGTGAGACAGATCTGTATTTTGGGGCATCTGGCAACCTGCCACAGGTACCCTGTCAGTGCTACGTGGTGGAAATGCGCCAAAGCTGTGCTCACACCCATCAGCCTGCAAGGCTCACAGGGGTAAAGCAGACAGAGAAAAGGCTAGACATGCTAAGGAACCAGGCAATAGATCTTCCCTCTGAGTCCTGCCTTCAGGCCCCGTCATAGTGAAACAGCTCTGTGTCTCCAACACCCTCTGCTAGAGAGGAAGGCTTTGAAACTAAGAAAAAGCCTTAACTCTTCCTCCACACAGTAGATTATCTCTGGCCAGGACACCTTGCACACAGCACATCTCAAGGGAGTTCCTTCACCTTCCACACTGGAGAGGACCTTGCCATGTCATGGTCCATAAGAGTCACCCAGAAACAGTTCAGTTGGCAAGATGCTGTGAATGACACAAACCCATCCTTAGTGGCTGGTTATGCACAAAAAAATAGACACATCTGTTGTCTCCGTCCAACATACTCTGGCTCAGCTGCTGCCTGGGGGAGCTAACACTCAGTTCATGGGCAAGCTTCAAAAATTGCTTGTAGCAATCTCTTTGAGACTCCTTGCACATGAACACACTTGCTCAGTGGTGAAAGGAGAGCTGTCTACATGATGAGGACTCAGTACCACAAGACCTTCCCAGGCCAAAAAACTCCCTTATATGATGATAAATCCTCTCTGAAATGCAGGAACTCTTGTTACGTGTCAGTAAATTAGAGCAAAGAGGAAGCAACATGAAGCTTCAGGCCACATGATATAAATGCTGGCTGCCTGTATTGATTTTGGTTGGCAAATACAGTTAAGTAAATTTGCACTTACTGGGCTGACTTTATAAAAATATCCTTGTCCAAGATAAGAAGAACTCCAAATCCTCTGCAATTTGCATGATTTTCTTGCTGCTGTGCTCCCTAGTTGTGAGGATTGCAGTTGAGCAGATGGGTTAGACGGCTCCTACGACCCTCGCTGTCACAGTAAGATCAGAATTCAGAATTCCACTCTCAGAGCCTTATAACAGATCTTACCTGGTTTTCTGCTCCTAAATGAGAGACACTTACAAGGTGCATGCCTTCCATGGGAAAGGACGTGGGGGTATCTGATTTTAAGGCCACCCAGCTCACTTGAGAGCAGTTTTTCTTGAGCACATTCATTCAGCCTTTACCTGAGCCCAGGAGCAGATCGGTATTGGACGTTCCGTTCTTGGCTTCCAGGGAGAGAGTCTCAGCACAGTTTTCTTCCTCCTTTTTAAGGACGCTCAGGAGGTCACAGACAGGTGGGACAGCTCTGATCTGCAAATTTTAAAAGCAGTGGAATCACTTTTCCTTTTAAATCTTACATCCTCTTGAAAGGATTTACCCTTCTTACGCTGACATTCCTCATGGAGCCCTATCAATTGATTGTGGGCAATATTTCCTGGAAATACAGTCAAGTTCCTTGAAATCCAGTCCATTTTCCTAATTAAGTCTGCTTTTTTATAGTAGCAGCAGGCAAGCACAGACTGAGTTTCTGCCTTCTCCCTTTTGCTGACATTACTGTTATTGAGAAAAATGAATGTGCTATTCTGCTAAATTAAGTACATGAGCAGGATGCTCTTCCAAAAGACTGCAGCAACATCCAGGGTGTTGATGGACCCTCCTAGAGCAATAGAGAATTAATTACTCACCCCAGCAATGTTAAATCATATGCCTTAGTCTTAACTCAGTCCTGATGTAGCAATTAAAAGTGCAGTTCATGTTATATGTAGCTGTACCAAAATGAATGTACAAAACAGCTACTGACCATTACAATGGCACATATTAAAAATCATTACAGACTGATCTGCAGGAAAAGGTCCCAGTTGTTATGTCTTGCAGTAAAAAAGTACTTTTCCCATTTCTATTATTGTAGCAGTTTCTATTATTTTTTACGATAAAAATGCTGAATATAAGTGGGTTCCCATTATAACAAATTAGGTAATTCCTCCTTTAAAAACAAGCCCAAAAATCTGTATAAATTCCCACTATGGAACTTATGTGTACATATATATATATAAATATATGCATATATATGCACCCACACATACTTAAGAGATTAAAAGCAAGTCATCAGGATGTATTACTTGAAAAGTATCAGAATTTTTTTATGTACTTTGTGCATGAAAAATTTAACCCGGCAGCATCATATTACTCCTCAATTTAATCAATCTTGTAACATTCTTGATCACTTACAGATTAGATTTAGGAGAGAGAATGATCACTGAAAACCTTCTAATGAGAACTATTACTTTTCTACAATTAAATTTTAGGCTAACAGACGTCAACGATTATATTCCCACTAATTTCAGCTGGAAGTATTCTGGGTATTGTATTTCTGAACAAAGTTTGATCTTTGCAGCAGTGTGTCGTGCCTCATCTAATTGGTCTGTTGTGTTTAACTTCAGCATCTTTCTCCTTTGTCCTTGTGCATCATGAAATAAAAGAAACTAAAAGCCATTTGGTTTTGCATAATGTAATGAATTTTCTGGAATTACACATACAAAGAGTTCAGATGACATAAACTACCCTCTCATGCCAGGATTTAAATGTCTTTTTAATCCATGTAATATTTGGGGCAAAAAAAAAAAAAAATCCATTTAGTCTTTGAAAAAATTAGAAATGGAGTAACATGTCTGAAGAAATGTAATTTCATTTACTGGTTTCATTTGTTATCTGAAGGCTGAATTTGATGATTTCTAAATGTTGACAGATTTTTTAAATGTCCATTATTTATCACTCTCTATTGTTATCTATTTGATTACCAATAGTAAAGTCATTCAGTACATTTTCAGAGCTCTCATGTAAAAATGTGACAGTTAAGACCTACAATATACTTCTGCTGTAGTCTCTGTCCAAAAGTTGCCTTGAAAATATGTGAAAAAACAATATTATTGCTGAGCATTTGAAGTGGCCAACAGAACCAGCCTGGTTTGCATGCGGGTCGGTCAAGACGATGCCAAACACATGTAAAAGCAAATGCTAGCAATCACTTTAGTAGCCATCTCAGAAACAGGAAAATCCTTCATCCTAAATAGGTCCTCACATCCTGTGGGCACCGTTTTCTTTTAAGAAATGTAGGTCCTAAGAAAGCTTTTGCTCTAGAAAGAGATTTAAGTCCTAAATTCTTTCTTTTGGGCTAGGCCACACGCGTTTAGCACATTCGGCTGTGAAGACCACCTTGATCTGATACAGCATTATTTTCTTCCATGAAATGTGTTGCTCAAGCACGAATATGGTGTAGTTAATGCTTTACAATCACTATTTTGCCCTTCCAAGCGATGTCCACCCTATTCTTCTGGTCAGATAGATACCACTGCCTGGTAACAGACGTGCAGGAAACGATTTTAAACCCAGAGAAAACAGAAACCCTCCAGGTGCTGGTTTAAAGACCTTGTTTTCTACAATTGCTGTCCCTTGGTTGGTCTTTGCCAACGCTGGCATCCGATGGGGCAGGCTGGGTGTGAGCGGGGCCATCGCAGGTCCAGCGCGGCTGTTTGCTGAGCAACACAAAATCCCGCTTCCCTTACCAGTGCCAGATAACCCCACTCTGCTGCCGACCGTGCCCAGTCTCGCTCCTGTTCACCGTCTGCAACTGGGAACAAGCAGCCTGCCCCTGTGCCTTGAAATTGAGGAGGACAATGGGCTCCTCTACTCGCGGTTTGTCTCTTCCTAAACAGTTCACTGAAACAGCTCCCAGCTCCCGTCAGATTTTGGTGAGGAGTCAAGATATCCTCATATTTCATTTAAAAAAAATATAAGATACCAAAACCATTCCAAACTGCTGTGGTAACTAGTTGTCCAGAACGGGCAGAAGGCTGCAGTTTGTGGTATGGATAGCAACAGCCAACAACAGGTTTTAACCTGCAAAACGAATGGATCTAAACACTATTTAATATAAGTAATATTTGCAGCCACAGTATTCACAGACGTCTGGTTTGAAAGTAAATGGGTTTAGTTTAATGAGAGGATTTAAAGGAGAACAGAAGATGCCTGGCAAAAATCAAAATGGGTATTTTGAAAGATTAGAAAGAGAACAAGTGGAAGGAGATAGTCTCAGTGGCATCCTGAGCAATGACATCTATTTACAGAGTCCTTCAGGTAATACCTAAGAATAACAAACCAAAATGACAAGAAAACTATCTCAGTCACTGTTTTTATTGTGGAAGATGATCAAAAGGCAAAAAAAGTTTTCAGACTGCATTCATTCTGCAATTAAAATGTCCAAGCAGAGCACAGGTTTTCTCAGAGTTTGAACCAAATCCCCTGCTGGGACAAAAAGATTGATTTGCCCATTAGTTGCAATGAAACAGTGAGGGTTTTTTTACATTTGCTGAGAGTTTCATCCTTTCCCAACTTCTCACACCCAGGACGGACATAATTAATTCTTGATCTATATGCTTCCAAATTTGAATAAGTGGAGCAGCACCTGGAGATGACAGCCCAGGTTCAGCTGTCCTTCCCGCTTGGTCTGAGCGCCCAGAGCTCAGCAGTGACAATCTGCCACCTGAATTCCCAGTGAAGGGATAAAGCTAAGAGAAAGAAACCAAACTTCGTGGGTCAAACATCACTGTGCTTGCCTTCAATCTGAGTCAAGGGAGGCGTTACCCCTTAGGGGATTGCTTGATGGTGTAAATCAGCAAAGCTTCTCTAAATGACATCAAATATTTTCTCCTTCATCACGGAACCTGCCGTGTTTACGAAAGCAGGTTCATAACACTGCTGTGTTATATAGCTGGGGAAACTGAGGCATCCACCATTTAGCCATCTGGCCACTGTCAATTAGTACAGGAAGCAGCAGAAGCAGGAATAAATTTTTTAAAAATCCTAGATTCTACACAGACCTTTTTAAACAAAGACCCCACGACTTCATGGAATAGAGGTGCACTTACTCAGACAACACATGATTCAATGCAATTGGGAATAAATAGCTCTAAGCACCTACCAGGGCAGTTGAAATCCAGAAGGTGATCACCCAGATGGTCCACATCGTCAATCACAGTCTGTTTCCTTCATCCCTCACACACCAGAGGTCACTGGGCTGTCTGTATGCTCTCCAGCGTGGCTCCTAGCTCCTTTCACTTCATTCCTTTCCCTCCTTGCTTTTTTTCCTTCCCAGCTTTGACCATCCTTAGCCAATGCTGCTCTCCAGCTGCTGAGCCCTAGAAAGCATCAGCAATGACAGGACCCCCACCCCTTTCCACCCTCCAAACTCTCCTCCTCCTCTACAGATGCCTCCTGTCCCAAGAATAACAGCACCTCCGCTGAGCATGTTCCGACTATCGCCTGCCTTCCTTCCAGGCTATTATTCACTGTTATCGGCGGGTGTCGCTGGGGAATGATCATTCCTCATGCTCCCATGATAAGGGACCAAGCAGGACTCCCGTGTCAGATGTCAGCCCCACAACGGCAGAGCTAATCAATCAAGAGGAAATACAGTCCTGAAATAAGTGCCCTGCTGAGAAACAGGGTTGGAGGAATGAGATTCAGGCTGCCTGCACTGCTTCTGCTCTCGACAGCTCTGCACATGCCTCCCGCAGCGAGCACACATCCTTGGGAGCCTGCTGCGGGAGAGCTGGCTGCCCATGCCTCCCACCAAGCCCCTGCGAGCACAGCTGCCGGAGCTGAAGGCAACCTCAGGTCTGGGTAGGCACCAGAGAAAGGGCAAACAGGGCATCTGTTCTTCCCACTCCTTCCAAAGAGGACTAAACGCTCCTTGGACTTCACTCTCTCATCCAACATCCAGAGAAACAGCCAGTCTGCATTTCATCCTGATGCAAGGTTGCAAGCTGTCATTGAGTTTGGATCCCTGCAGTTCCTCATTGGAGGGATGCAGATTCCAGATGTCCTAGGTTCCCCATAGGCAGTTTCCCAGCAGTCCCCTTCCCCAGCAGCAGAGTGCCCTTTGTTTTTCCAGGTTTTGTGTCTGTGGCAAAACTACTGTAGAGGGGCTGTATGCTTACCCTGGGTGTGGGCTCCCAGCTGCCAACGCAGGCACCACAAATCCTTGCTTGCCAAGCTCAGTGGTAGCACAATAGTGAATATGGCTTCAAAAAAGAGCAAAAGTTTGCACAGTGCACTAGTGCTCTTTCTCAGATCACTGCAGTCCACAGCTTGGCAAAGTGTGTTGAAACATCTTGTACCACCTATTCCAATTTACCACCACCCATCACCCCAGACAGGTCAAATATGATGAGAGGCTGCCCAGAACACAGGTGTGCTCCAGATCTACCAGTAAAGTCAATGGCTATGGCCATAAAACATATGGCTCATTACCTTTGCGCTGTAAATCCGGCCATTGGATTAATCAAGCCATCTGCTGAGCAGCACAATTAAGGAATCTGGGTTTCCAAGAGAGAGCTGCCCTTTCCCATACCCACTCTGACCACATTAACTCCAGCTTATCTCTATGTGTGCTCCATAGGACCGTTGAATTGCAGGGTGCTCTGTGTCCCTACACACCACCCTCATCTCTCCGCACATCCCCAGAGCAGGAGTTGGGCAAGCAGCAGCATTTGCTCTAACCCCATGCTACATCTGCCCTGCCCAGCCGCCCGGTTGCATGTGCTAGCTGCCCAGCTGCCATCCTCACACTGCATCATTTCCCTTGCAAAGGGCAAATATTTCGGCCTTCCTTGCGCCTCTCCATGTGAAACTTGTAGAAACTTTCATTTCTTGAAGAGCTCTGCTTTCCCAGAGAGTTTGGTTGAAAATGGCCTAAGGTTTAAGCAAATCGTTAAAAGAGGGTCTGAGAGGCAGCCAGTGTCATTACAGTAGTCTGAAGAAACCACATTGGCAATGCTGCATCATCTCAGTAGGGTGACAAGTCATTCTCTCTCTCCTCCTTTGGCTCAATATTTCATTATTCCATTCATATTTTAACAGTTTCCTCTGAAAGCCACCGCTCTTGCTCGCGTTGGCGAAATTGAAGGAGCTTTGCTCCTGAATGTCCTTCTGATGTGGGACATTTTCTGAAACACTCAATCAGAGTTCAGGAGTTCCCCAGAGACAATGATGGATTTAAACACCAATGCTGTGAATGAAGAGCCTAATCTTTTGTGTTTCTCCCATTATATGCATGTACAGGCTGAGCGTTTGAAAGAAGCTGGATGCAAAATAAATCCTGGAAAATTCTCACCTGTGCAAACGATTGACTTGCAGTGCAGGAGACGTCAGCACTGTGGGACAGGCACTGCGGACTGGGAAACCTAAGAGCAGCAGCCGACTGCAGAGAATTGTTAAAAAGAATTCACATATCCTGAAATGAGGTGTTTGTTTAATTAAACAATGCAGCATTGCACTTGGCGGTGTGCACCTATCTTAATTCCTACTCAATATATCCATTTTAAATTTGTCACAGCTGCAATTTCATTCAAGTCTGTACTCTAAACAAGAAATGAAACATCCGAATTTGTTCATGCAATCTTGAAAGGCTTTTAATTATAACTTTAGTAGTAAATAAAAGAAATGGCTTTGCGTTACTCTGTACGATTACTTATCAAATTAACCAACTTTGATGTTCAATACTTATTTATTAATACTTAAAGTTTCCATTTGTGCCTCAGTCTAATAATTCACATTTCTCCCTCTTTGTTAAATAATGATGTTGTTTGCAATGCCTCTATTACAGCTTGACAATCAGGCCACGCATTTTTCATCTGATGTTTGCACATAGACATAAAACTGGGGTGAGAATCACCTATTTAAATCCTAGCTCACAATCTTTATTTATACTAGCCATCCCAAGGAAATCTGCAGATTTGTTGGCTGATAATCCCCTCTTTTCACTTACCTTTTCCACTGATTTGGCACCTCTTGGGAAACCTTACAGAGTGCTTTTCCAGAGGTGCCTCATATTCAGCTCCTCTGATGTGGAAGCGAAGATGGATTCTGGTTTACACTCAACTGTCACTGTCCAAAGCGACAGACGCACATGTGAATTGTGTTTCTGTGGGAGGAGAAATATGTTAACATGCTATTGGCTGTACTATGTTCCCACAGCCTTTTTCTTAGAAACAGGAACAAAAACCCAGCAAACCCATAGACCTAAACAAGTTCAGCGTGGGACACTGCTATTAAGCTCTGGAGCTGGCAAGTCTATTTTCAGTGCCAAATCGTGCCACGCTAAACACGTAGCATTTTGCACCTTTGTCCCAGGGAGCTGATTCAGACAGCCCAGCTGCCTGCGAGGTCCATTCTGCAAGAGAAAATAATTTTGACCATCTCCCCAGCTTGTCAGGTGGAGAATAAACTGTCTTAATGTTTGCTCAGCTGAGGTGAATGGATAGTTTGGAAAAGCAGTAGCTTGCTCTGTCCTGATGCTTGGAAGGGTCAAAGCTCCACCAAAGGCAGATAACTGCACACATGGAGCTACGAGGAGGAAGAGATGCAGGAAAGCAAAGCTGGGACCGGCGGTGTGGCAGGCAGGAGGTGTTTTAGGTACCCCTCTGAGGGGTTACATGCCTTTAGGGTGATGTAGCACACTGGGGCACATACAGAGGTGAGGTGAGGACCAGCTCCCACAGAAAACATGCTCTGAAATGGGTTAGTGAGCTGCTGGAGTTCACACAAAGCCGGTGTAGAAGCTGATCCTGAACTTGCTCCTAAACCCAGCTGGAATGCTCCCATCACTGGGCATCTCTCCCCAGCCTTGTCAAGGGTGTAGGCATCATCCTTTCCTCATCAACAGCAATTACATTTTACTAAGTATGGGAACCAGGTTCTGAGAGCTGAATTTTATGATTTAATGTCTCTCTCTCTTTCTTTTTTATTCAAGCTGAGCGTCGCACCACTTTCAGTTACTTTTTACCTCTGTATTAGAAATGCTAAAAGAGAATTTTAGTCTTAAATTATGTAAGGGAAAAAAAAAAAGTTCTGGAAATATTTCTGGCTTTACATATTAAGTGTCCTTGAGACATCATGAAAAAACCCAGCAGGTCTACGAGCATGGTTTGTTCCAAATGCCATTCATACGCAAGACAGTACACCCATGGGAGAAGGAGCCGGGACAGCCTATACTCTCAAGGGTATTTGTCATGTTGCCTCATGCAGGGTGTCTGTGCAGATTTCTCCCTGTTAAACCTTTCTCTTCGGCTTTTCCAGCAATTCTGCTGGGAGTCTGGAAGGCTTACAGGTTTGGGACAACTCACAGGGCGTGTCTTGAGTAGAAGAGGCCTTGTCTACC